TTCGACGCTCCCGCTGTGGTTTCGCCGGAATTCCGTTGCGTTTCGATGCTCCCGCTGTGGTTTCGCGCGAATTCCGGCCTCTCGTGGCCTCCTTAGGTTGCCGACCGCAACGGTGCGCGCGGTGAGACCACCTGGGGGCAGGATCAATAAAAAGACAGGGTTTAGGGGGGGTTTAGGGTTTAGGGTCAACCCTGCGGCTGGGTGCCGGGGGTTAGTATTATGGGGGTAGCGATTTTGGAGTTGAGCATCATGAGCATCAGCTGGGTCGATTGGCCCCCAAGTTCCACCCCCCAGTGGTTGGCGTCTTTTTGACCCCCAAGAGAATTCGGCCCCCCCACGAACTTTTGTACTTTTAGTCCCCGGGAGTGTCGGTGCTCTTCTGGCCTTCTTCTTTTCTGGCCCTCCACACTGTTTGGGGTTTACGCCGGCAGAATATATATATATATATATATATATATATATGGTCACCCCCCCCCCAATGGACCCACCGCGGCCTTGATATATATATATATATATATATATACGTAACTATCTTAGGGCCTTTTCAGGAACCAAAAACTACTCCGAAGCAGGTCCTGAGCTCCTCGCCATGGCTTTTTCTGCATGCGCAGGCGCGGCGTCATTCTTCCTTGCTCCTGGAAGTAGAAGCGGGGTTTAGGGTTTAGGGTTTAGGGTTTAGGGTTTAGGGTTTAGGGTTTAGGGTTTGGGGTTTAGGGTTTAGGGTTTAGGGTTTAGGGTTTAGGGTTTAGGGTTTGGCCCACTGCTGTGGCTGTATGATTTAGGGTCCCCTTTCAAGTACTGCTGGGATTTAAGAAGGGACTTCGTTTTTCGAACGACCCTGGAATGGTGCCTTACAAACTGGGGTCTCGTGTTGTCGGGTTTAGGCTCAAGGCATACTAGTTCGTCATAGTGTGGGATGTTCCCCCTTATACTAACAGTCCTTCATATGGATTCTAATAGTGGGTATATAATCCCTATTATGAGGACTGTTAGTATAAGGGATGATGTATACATCCCTGAACCCAGCATTTTGGGCCGGTGGCTCCTCCTCCTCCTCCTCCTCCTTGGTTCGTACCCTTCGATTCCGTACGCTGAGCCACAGCATTGGACGTGGGCGTGAACGTCGCGGCCTGGGGCGGGTGAGCGAAGAGGGCGAGTGGGGGAGGGGGGGGCTGGCTGCGGGGTTTATGGGGTTGCTATAAAAAAAAACGTGGGCTTTCGAAACCTGAAGGCGAGAAATGGCAACCCCCGTAGCCCCTCTGCACACGCCTACACCCTTAAGGCAGATCCATTCTGGGCTCCCGGCCTGTGGGTTGAAGGAGAACTCCTGAGAAACCATGAAACTTCATGCCAAAAACGACACTAAACCCTACACCCTCAACCGCAGCCTGCGATCGACTTGCCTAAGGAAAAACTTCGCCGTGGGAATCCTTCGCCGACGGGTTGAAGGAAAACTTGGAGTTGCCCTTGCCGCCCTTCTGCCTGAGCGCTCTCACGGCAGATCATAATACAGATAATACATACAAAAACGAGGGAGATGGCTTCAGAGATGCTCAAGTAAAGAAACAGAGCGCTGGGGTCTGCACTCTTCTTGAGCCTCAGGGTTTTTGGGCTCAGGGTGATTCTCACTTGAAGATCAACTCTACCTCCTGCCTCCTGCTCCGGCTCATGAGCTGCTGCCTCAGGCTACAGATCCGCGTATTCACCTCCACAGCTTGAATATCCTATGCATTCACCCTAAACCCTAAACCCTAAACCCTAAACCCTAAACCCTAAACCCTAAATTCCTGTACTGATTTACAGCCGCTCAGTGCGGCACAGAAGCGTCCAGCTGAAATCCTGGCGGCACTACAGGAACTCCAACTCCAACTTGCCAGCTCTAAATGTAGCATCCCAGCGCCTGAGTCGCAACGGAGCAGTAACTGCGATAGATGCTGCAAGAACCCTACCATGACAGCTGCCCTTCTGCAAAAGGTTCTCCTCCAGCTTCGGCGTGGCCAGAGCCACTGGCGCCTAGCCAGCTCTGAGCTCCCACAAACAGAGCAGTTAAAATCCACGTAAGCCAGAAGGTCAAGTATGGAACCCGAAACCCAAAGCGCTGATGCTGGGCGGGCTTCGACCCCTGCCGGCGCCTGGTGCAGCAGCGGGCCTCAAGTTCCGAATGAATGCACAGCAATGCACGGTATATGGAAACTGCACCACAGGCCCTCTGTTCGGACAAGCGAAGTCAGTGCAGGTCATGGAGATCGGGACCCGTGCTTCTTCTGCGTCGTGGCATCTTTTTGCTGGATGGCCTTGGGTACATCTTGGCTGCGCTCTGCACAATGCTTCCAGGGCCACGTCGAACCAGGCCTGCAAAGACTGCTGAAGCTCGTCCCTGATGCCGGAAGATGGCTGTCCCTGACATCATTCGTGGTGTGTTTTGGAAGGTGATTGAAGCTATCCCGCGAACGACTCTGAAAGGTCGTAGCCGATTATAGGCTGCGCATGTACGTGCTTGCGTCAGATGCTGCAAACAACTTGGTCAAGCGAAACCCACCTGTCGCGTTCGCGACTGCGACTGCTTGAAATTGATCCAATCCGATCGGGTCTTGTCATCAAACTTGGGCAAAGCAGGCCTTATGAGCGTAGGTTGGCATTTAAAAGCTGCATCCACAAAAAAACAAAGAGCGCCACAAGAACTAAGTTGAAGACTCGAGATTCAAGGCATTAATGCTTTTCATCTCTGAGAGCTGCGGCGCCCGCCTCGCACTTTCAGCTGCTCCACTGCGCCAGAGGGTGGAGGTGCCGTTTGAGTCCGTCAAAGCTGAGTGCTGAGCTGGTGCGCAGTGATCATGTAGCGCTTGGCCCTATGCTCTCGGGCGAAACCCTGAGCATGCCAGGACATCAAGAGTGAGCAAACGAGTGTGCGACATGCTGCATGACCGTCCCAAGTCGGACAGGGAGCATCTGCAGCATGCAGCTCAGCTGCGGATGCAGCATCATGCTGCGAGACATTCTCCTGCATCACGCGCAGAGTGCTGGCATGCTTGACTTAGGACTTAGGACATGCTGATACAAGTAGGTTGCTTTGGCAAACACCGAGAACTGCTGAAGGCATACGTGGCATCGGCCGCATGCTCGAGATTCGGGTATTCTGTGTTGGCAAGCCCAGTCTCCACTGTCAGCGGAGCATGGACTGGCTCCTCAGCCCAGCACTCAGTGGCAACAGGGGTCAGCCAACATCATGCACGCAGCAACCATCCAGCAGACAGGGCACCCGAGCTTGCGAAGAGCCGACGGCACTAAACTGCGCTTCCTCGTCAACATCCTGGCGTGGCGGCCCGACACCACACGATCACACGAGAAGCGCCACGCTGTCGTCTCTAAGGCTTCAGCATCATTCACGCCTTCCTCTATTCTGCCCCAGCTCCTTGGCTGCTTCGCACTCCACGCCCACATGCGATGCTGGGAGTGACCACGGCGTGACATTCAGCAAAGCAGCTGCCCGCTCTCAATTTCGCGGGCGATGCGCTCGGCCTGAGGGTCTCAAGACAAAGTGGCTGGGTTGCATCCTCCTCCCAGCACAAACCCCCCTAAACCCCCCCCCCCTAAACCCCCCCCCCAACCCCCCCCCAACCCCCCCCAACCCCCCCCCAACCCCCCCCCCCCCCTGAGAAAAAGCCGCAGAGGTCGACACATCTTTCCTCTTCTGCTCTGGGATTTTGCTGGGGTCCAGCTTCGTGGTATACAAGTCCTGCACAGATCGGAAAGCCACCACATGGCAATGCGGAACCTCACAGCCGTGCAGGTCCTCAGAGTACGTGCTGGTGATGCCGAACTGTTTCTCGTTATATTCGAACTGGTTCCAGGTCTGTCGGAGAACACGAATGCGGCAAACAATGGCAAACACACCTCACCTACACCACAGCGCGCAAGCCCCTGGGGTAATGTGGGTGCTGATCTGAATTGTGGATCTTTTCGCCGGCACCCAATAAGTTATAAGGAGTATCCATGAGACGTAACATTTGGAACATCTTGGGAGCAAACAGGTTAGGGTGTGGGAGGTTCGGGGTTCAGGTTTTAGGAGCCCGGCTAGTTCTTTTAGGATCCTTAGGCACTGCTCATATACAATGAAGTAGGGCTTCTTATGGCTGGTATCCGCAGTCGGACACCGCAGATCTGCACTCACAAATACAACAATCTAAGGTCTGGGGTTTAGGGCTTAGCCCTAAACCCTAAACCCTAAACCCTAAACCCTAAACCCTAAACCCTAAGCCCTCCGCCCTAAGCCCTAAGCCCTAAGCTAAACCCGGAAGTAGAGGGTGCCATTCGAATCCAAACTGGAAGTTCTTTAAATTAGCCTTACATTTAGGGTAGCCCACAAAAGGGGGGACACTGCCCGAACGCCTTGCTTCTGACCTGAGGTCCGAGCACCTATTTGGCGACCACCAGATTCCAGATTGAGGGAAACGCCGGCAGGGGCACTTGCCTGGCGGGATGAAGGCTCTTCTCACGAGTTTGGTAGCAGATACCTCGTAGATAGGAGGAAAACCCAGAAGCCCCAAACCCGAAACCCCCAAACCCATACGGGCATTTCCCAAATGAGGGGGTACCCTGAAAACACCCCCAAATATTAGGATCCTGTTGAAAGGAACCCCCCCAAAAGGGTACGCCCCCCTAGACCTGTAGGTAGACGCCAGGTTTCGTGAGCAACCGGACTCAGAACCCTGGAGCCAAGGCCTCCCCACCGCTCTTCCAAGCAACCAGCTCGCGGTTGCGGCCCTCACCCCACCCTTCAGCCTGCGAAGTCGTGCAGCTTCGGGGCTTACAAGGAGTTTAAGGGCTGGATGGGGTTTAAGGGCTGGAGGAGTCTGAGGTTTTTTGTTGGGCTCAAGGTGGCTCAAGGACGTAGGACGATTTCCGATGAGTGCGACATGAGGCAGGCGCTATTTCGCCATCCGTCTTGAAGGCGGTGTGCTGCCTTGGTCGGAAGTTTGCTCATTCGGCTCAAGACGATTCGAAGCGACAAAGGGCGCGGCTTGGGCTCCGGAGGCACGTTGGCAGCAGAGACCTGGCAGACCACAGAATAACGCCTTCAAGACCTACCAGGATAATTTTTCTTATCCCCGACATGAAGTACAGCTTTCAGTCGTCATTTGCCAGCGCCCCTCGGGCCCATCGGATGGCCGTCCTGAAGGAAATCTTTCGCGGCCACAACCATTTCATCTTTCACCTGCCAAGAAGAGGTGCGCAAGGTGCCCGTCTCCCACGAAAACATGCGGCGCCGGGCGCTAGCAACAAAGCTCTCATTTAGGGTTTAGGGTTCAGGGTTCAGGGTTCAGGGTTTAGGGTTTAGGGTTTAGGGTTTCGGGTTTGGGGTCTAGGGTTTAGGGTTTAGGGGGCCTCGCCACTGGGCCCTTTTCCGGCGGCCACTTGCCGGGCTGATTTCAAGGTGATCGAGATATCACCTGCACGTAGACAACTCGGAAGCGCTTGTGGGCAGCACGGAGCTCAAAAAACTCATCGACGCCTCTTGCAAAAAACCGGCCTTCTAAGGTGCAGCTGTGGAATACTCCCTCGTAGGTCGTCCTGGCAAAGGAATGAAGGCACCCTACAACACAACCCGAAACCTCGTTGCAACCCTCATAAAGAGCGGAGTTGAACTGGCCGAATACAGCCAAGCCACTGGTTCTTCAGCTTGACGGTGACCGTCTGCCCGCCCAGACCTCTAAAAGCTCTACCATAATACAGTTGACACAGAATGACACACGCGCGCGCGCACGCCCTCAAAAACCACACTGTTGACCCCCTCGGAGCTGAAGCCGCGGCAGGCGAGGAAGTACAGCATTCCTTACCAGCGGCTCACTGCAGCACTAGACATCAGGTGCAGCGCGTTGCCAAAAAAAAGTAAGGAGAAACGACTTCAAGGCACGTTCTTTGTTGGCATCATGAGGCTGAGCTGCGCGAGCACCTGCCTGACACACTTGCAAGGTCAGCACGGCTTAGGGCTTCGGCTTAGACCAGGGTTCAGGGTGTCGTGCCAGCCGCACTTGCTCTGTCCCAAGTTGCAAGCTTCCGTGGGCGTGCCTTGGGGCCTCGGCCCTTCTTCCCGCCCTGCAGATGCATGGGCAGAGGGATAAAAGCGGGGGAGATTGTAGACCTAGGCTGCCTGCCCCGCATGAGCAGCACTCCACGACATCGGTCCAAGAATGATCGAGAGTGGGATGGAACTGCTGACGCATACCGTCAAGATTGCGAGGGGCCATAAGGTGCAACAAGTTAGACTTGCATGGGACGTGTGCATGTTCGGCGTCAGCCTGCTGCATCCTGCGTCACTATGTCACAGGCGACCAAGGACCTGAAGAGAGCCCGAAGTGGCCCTGGGGTGCAGGGGTATTACGTTGGGATGTTCCCCCTTGTACTAACAAGTCCTTAATAGGGACTATAATCGGGGGTGCTATACTCCCGATTCAGGACTGTTAGTATGAGGGGGAACATCCAAAGTATTAATGTTCAAGAGCCCCCTTGCCCGTGGCTTCGAACCGCCACGGCCCTCCAGACCAGAACCATGACAACCCAGACCACAGTCATGCATGAAAGGGGCATCGCATAGCCGTTTTGTTCATCAAGCAACAACTTCTTGTGCCGAAAAAGCTTGACGTGTTATGGCTTCACGCAACCTACACTGGGACTCAGGAGCAAACATGGCAACTTTACTTCACAAGAACGGGCGCAAGGTACAAGATTGTGTGGCATAGTGTACTAGATTATATTCAAAGTCTAAACGGCATGCTACGCCACACAATTTTCGACGTTTCTATGAACTATCTTGATAGTCCACAGTCTGTTAGGGGCCCAATGGCTCCCTTAGCCCTAGACCTTCAAACTCCAACACCCTTAGACCCGAAACCCTGAACCCAAATTCCCAAAAAGGAAACCCCACACACCCCGCCAGTACTTTGGGACCTCCCGTAGCTTGTCTGTGACTCAGGTCTTTTGTGGCTTCAAGCCTAACCCGTGGTTCGGAGTTGGAACTGGGCGGTGGGGTTTACGTGTTGGAAGGGGGTATAGGGTTAGGGTTCAGGGTTCAGGATTTAGGGTTCAAGTTGCGGTGCTCAGCACCAGTCTCCTAGACCAAAACCTCCACCCACACAAAGCGCAACCGCCATATGGAAGACCCTGGATGCTTCTGCGCGCTGCGCAGGTGAATCCAGCTGCTGAGGCCGTCACGGAGGAGCGCAATTCGGCAATGACGACTGAATTAGGTTGTGCGTGCTTCGGCTGTAAACGACCACTAGTGACTAGTTGCTTGCCTCCCTATACTTCAGCCTGCGAAGCATAGACGGGTGCAGGATTCAGTGTCTCTGTGTGCGTGTGTGTTTGTGTCTCTGTGTGAATCAGCTTAAGCTGGCTCGACTACGGTGCCCCTACTACCCGAGGAATTATTCAACAGGCTATGAGAACATTGGCCAGTGTGTAGTTGCACCGACAGTTTTGCTGTGAGCCGCAAACATTCCAGCGGACGCCAAAACCACCTCGAGGCCTATGAACCCTGAACTCGGGATGTCCCCCCTTCCACTAACAGTCCATAATCGGGATTAGAATACCCCGAAATTCAGGGCTGTTAGCATAAGGGGGAAAATCCCAACCCGAAACCCAAACAAACCCAAACCGAAGCTGTCGGAGTCCAGACTGGTTTAGGGTATGTTCCCCCTTATACTAACAGTCCGTAATAGGGATTGATAGCACCCTCGTATTATTATCCCTATTAAAGTACAAGGGGAACATCCCAAGTGAGCTCATAGATTTTCAGGGCCATTTGGAAACTCTGCGTCAGCAACACCAGCGGGGGGCCAAGGCCTGCCAAGCGCCCCATCATCAGCACGTGTCCTGGGTAAGCGGTTGCGAGCGCTGAGGTCTAGAGGGTCCTGGGAGAATGATCTTTCCGATAATTATGGTCACACACCAGAAAAAAGCGACAAAACTTTGCCAACTCCTGCCAGAGGGTGGATCAGACAAAAACGAACAGCGTCGGTTGTGGTGTTGTTTGGTCAGGGTGGGGGGCTCCAAAAGCCGCTTGCAACAGACTTGGCGTGCAGTGACTTATCTGCTCGGGGGCTTAAGATGCTAGGGGAGCTGCTATGGACCCCTGGAGGAGAAGAGAAGGCGGAAGTGCAGGAAGCAACCCTTAAGATATCATAACATCCGAAAATCAAAGCCTCAAGCCCTAATCCAGAATGCCCCAGGACCTGCTCAACATGTTGTGGTCTGGGGTGAGGGCTTTAGGGCCGCGGTTGGAGGGTTCTCAGCATTTTTTGGGAGGGGGGGGGGTAGGGTGTAGGGCTTGCAGGTTTGAAGGGCAGAGTGTGGGGATTTCTGGTTCCCCAAACACATGAGAACTCTCAGGTCCCGACACATCAGGACAACAAAGATCACATTGGTCCACCAAAGGCGTGCACCTCGCAAAGAGCTGAAGAGCACGGTCTGAGTCAAATCCTCAACCCTAAACCCTAAACCCCAAACCCTAAACCCCAAGTCTTTCCACTCCATGGCATGCCAGCCTCTTGCATTCTGAAAGGAGGTTTCCCATGGCGTTGAAGAGGGAGGATGGCGAACTAGGGCCTCTGTTGTCTGCGATGGCTGGCTCTGAGCTGCTGCGCTCCTTGCATCTCCTTACAAGTTTTATAAGAAGTTCTGCTACATCTGACCTGTCTTAAGTGCCATCTTCTCGCTACTCATTAATGCACAGAATCTCCGCGATGGTCTGCGTCACAGCCAACTCGTAGGTTGGAGTGCTGCGCGGCCTTTGCTCAACAAGTGCCCCCCCCCCCCGCAAGAAGCGAGCCACCAAGGCCAGAGAGGCAACTTTGTTGCCGTGGGCCCTAAGCCCTAAAACTCCCTGAGCTCTAAACAACTCCAAGGCCCTCATACACAACACATCACCACCAAGACCTGGGGAAGACCAAGAAGGCCAAAGCCCGAAAGCCCATAACCCTCAACAGCCTGGAGAAGCCTAAGCCCTGAAATCTAAGAAAGCCCCAAGCCCTGCATGCAGACCCCAAACGAACTCCTCGAACAAGAGCTTAGGCAGACATTTCTGGGCGGAGACAAAGGTCGGTCACATCGAGAGTTTGGGTTTAGGTTTCGGGCTTTACGGTCGAGGGCTGCAATCAGCCGACCACATGTGTAGGGGTCAGGCTGGCTCACCATCTCCCCTCCAAAAAAAAGAGGGGGGGCCCTTGGGGAATGACTGAGTTGCCTCACAAGGCTAACACGCGACCTAACCTGGAGCATGTCAGCATTGCATAGCATGCCGGGGATTCCGTTCATGAGGCGCCGTCTCCTTACCCTTGGCATGACAAGCTTCCGACTGTGCTTCTCGCTTCGGATGGTTGAGGGATGTTGAGGGCTTGGGACATGAACAACTGGATTTTCAGCACGGTGTTTGCTGGCTGTCGACGTTCTCGGTTGATGCTGTAATCACTCTGGGCGGTTGCTGGGGATTCGGGCTCAGGGACAGGAAGTAGCTGCATCGTGCTGCCTTGTTTCCTTCGCGCCCTCCTTTCCTGCGCCGGATGGTGACTCTGCCGGACAAGTCGGCGAGTGCGCTAAGCCGCTAGAAGTTCGAGCAGAGGTTGCTCAGCGCCGAGCAGACCACAGCCCTGGCTCGAAGATCTCACAAGCTACAGCAGCCTCATTCACTGAAAAAGTCGGCTGCAGATGTCCGAGCCAGCTTGGAGGGCGCCATTCTTCGCGAGGCCGGGTGGAAACAGATGCCGAACAGGTTTTAGTAGCCCTTCGACTTGTCAACGACATTCTTGAAGCCCGCAAAGCCCTCAGTGGTGAACTCATCCAACCGGTTTCGGAACAGGTCCCACGTCTGCTCCATATACCTCAGGCTGAAAAATAAGAGTGCGGATGCATTGACGAAAAAGCTCCTGCATTGCAACTGCACAGCAACTCCGGAATGCTCTCCACCGATGTTGCCAAGATGCTGGCTCGTAAGGTCAGCGTTATGTGGACTCAGCAGCCTTAAGACGCGCTCACGGGGGGTTCACTGCTCAGAAGTGCATATTGGGACCCAGAGCCGCCGCGAAACATCACGAAAATCTCTTCAGCTCAGTGGCAAATTTTCACAGTTCCACACTGGAGACTCCGCGGGTAGCGGCTCCTTTCAACGAGGAGATCCGCCACCCAAAAAAGAACCCGACATGGCTGAACGTCCTTCTCGAACACGTCCAGGGCTGCCCCAGCGATGTGGCCGCCTTTCAACCTTCTATGGTAATATTGGTACACTGAGCCGTCCGGAGCAGCAGAGGTGGGATTCGCAATGGAACACAAGCCCTACGGCCCTGAACTTCTAAGGGCGTCCGAGTTCTTGCCGCCATGTGGCGAGTCCACGAGGGCAGCCTCGTCCACGCAGGAGCCTGGGGGCATCAGAAAGAACCCCACAAAAACCACTCCATGGCCTCGGTGGGTCAAACCCTAAACCCTAAACCCTAAACCCCTGCCTCGGCCCATGGAGATGAAGATCGAGGTGGGCTTCATGGCCTCGGGAGGCACCCACATCCACAAAACCCTAAACCCTAAACCCTAAACCCTAAACCCTAAACCCTAAACCCTAAACCCCAGATGTGGCTCTCTCAGCATATCCCTGCCTTGAACTCATCTGCCTCGGCACCCGGGACACTTGCACTGCAATGCGTCTGTCTTGAAACATGGGAGGCGGGGGTTCCGGAAAAAAAGCTTGTTCTTTTTTTTCTTTTTTGGGGAGGGGGGGGGGGGGGTCCCTTTAAGGGGATCCGATTCTATTGGGGGTGTAAAGGAGGTACCCCTACTTTTGGAAATACCCTCAACGTATGGCCAGGTTAGAGCCAAGAATCTCCGCAGCAGTGGAAAGTCGCCGCACCACCAGGCAACGAACAAATCACGTAGTCAGACTGCTTGAAGACTTCCTGGACAGGGCGAATCTGCCGACACCAGGCTCATGAGACAGAGCGAAACCGCATGCGTTCCGTGCCTGCTTTGCACCAGCTCCGTCGCTGGAATAGAAGACTTCGTCGGCCAACTCCTCGCCGGACGCTCCTCGCGTGTTTCGCCAAGCAAGGATCCGCATGCCAAAGGCCTTGCACAGCCGCGCCGTGCATTGCGCGATATCGCCGAAGCCGATAAAGCCCACGGTTTGTCCATGGAGCTCATTCATGATGAACTTGTCCCAGGTCTTTGTGGAGCGATTTCCCTGCAGCCTCGGGATCTGCTTATTGAAGTGCAGCATCGCCGCCAGGTTGTACTCGGCCAGGGATCTCGAGAACGCCCCCTTGGCGTTGGTCAGAGGGATGTCCGGACCACCAGGCAGGGAGTTGAGCACCGGAACCAGCGTGTCCACCCCTGCAGCAAGGCTGTGGATCCATCTCAGCTTTGTCATGTGCGGCCAGAGATCAGCGATGACGGCAGGGTTTCCGGCAGCAAACACTGCTAGCACAACAACCTCAACATCTGGGAGGCTCTTCAGGTCCTTGAAGTCGGACAGGGAGTTACCGACGAGGCAGGTTGACTTCCTCAGCTTGCCATTGTCAGCTATGAGAACCTGCTAAGGTGACAAGGAAGGCCCAGTCAGAATGACAACAATTCGACAGGCAATCTACTCAACTACAATTGCTTCTGTTTGGTAAGTGCTTCCGAGGAGCTCTGATACTTGAGGAAGTAGCTCAAGCAGAGCTTTGCCATTGGCTGAAGAGGCATCTGCCACCACCGCGATGACCGGCATCGAGCTTAGACAGGATAGGCCTCTTAGACCTCTGCCGGGTGCTCGTAACTTGAGCCTCTGGTAGGTAGGTCTTGCACCTTCCAAGCAACGGGAGATGGCTATGGATCGACTAAAGGTACGAAGTATCGCTGCCATTGCTCGAGATCGAAGCCTCCACAAACTCTAGAAATCGGCACCCCTCAGGTATGCGCAGGCTTCCAGAAAGACAGCGGCTCATGTTATCCATATGTCTTCCTTGATGCAATGCTACTGGAGCGCAGGTGCTCTCGCTCTTGCACTTTGACTTTGCAGCCTTTATGTCTCTTCTGAGGGCACTTGCCAGCATGGCATACCTCTGGACAGACGCAGTGCTGGTTGAGTCTGGGAGTGTGCGACTGATGACTAGGGGTCAGCTCAGCATCCATGTCAGGGTTTTGTACACTACTATAAGCAAACCCCTCCCTCCCCGATTTTATCTGCAACAGCCATGCTTTCCAGCACATCTTGAAGATCTTTTGCAAGGGGAGCTGTAACTACACACGCCCTGCCAGCAAGATCACGAAAGCTCATTCTGTGGCGGTGTAGGAAGTTTCGCATGCACCAGTGTAAGTCCTCTCCAAACGTGGATTCACTGGTATACTTCCCATCCGAAACGGTCGGAGCTCCAGCATGCGCGAAGTGGCAGCGGATCTGGTGCATGCGGCCCGTAGCAATCGTAACATTCACCAAGCTTAAAGCGCGTGAACCGTTGAAGGAGAGGTGCCGGCGTGAATGCAGCAATGTGCGGCAGGGCTTGCCACGGCCAGATAAGGACACCTGGCCCTCCAACCTTAGCTGCGTATTGAATTCCACCACTGCCTTGGGTAGCCAGCCATGGCAAAGCACTGCATACGCCCGTGCTAACTCACCCATAGCAAGCTGGAACTGCATCTCCTGGAAGGCCTCGAAAGTCTTCGCCACCAGAAGCAGTCCAGAGCTGGGCACGTCCAGTCGGTGCAAGAAGCCAAAGTCTCGGTGAGAGTCGTGGAGTATGGGCAGATGCAAGTGGTGTCTCTGGAACCACGCGTGTAGCTGAAACGCTTCGTGCAGGTCATGTACCTCCCACCCAGGTGGTTTGTAGACGACGGCCAGACCTCCGACATCCAGTTTGCAGACAGGCTCATAGTCCGTACGGTCGTCATGCTGCTGCAGGGACAGGGGACAGTCCTTCGACGGAGCATGCGAGCTGCTGTCACTAAGCGGCAGAAGTCTCCTGGTGTGAAGGGCATCCAGATGCCTGCCCGACTCACGGACGATACCGGCGGCAAGCGTCCGAAGAGGTGCCTCGAGGCTGCCTGCCAGCGCGCAGGCCCCAACCAAGCCAAGCACCTCTTCAAGCTTCACCTCTGCAACCTCTGACTTGTCCTTTAATGGCCGCAGGCGTCTACATGCTTCCTGCTGGATACCATGCAGAATGTCAGCAGACGGCCAGCCAACGAAGCCCCACGCGACCAGCATCAACTCCTCCATTGCGAAGTCGTGAAGCCTGGACATTACGATTCTGCCTAATTTCTGCTCCAGGCTCTTGCCTACGGCTCCGAGGGCGCTTGCGGCCCAGCAAACTGCAGTCACTTGGGAGGTGGGCGCGGCGCCCTTGACCGAAAGGAATCTCAGAGCTTGCAGACACTTTCTGTGAATCCCTTGAGGATCCAAACCGCAGTGCACGCTGAGCTTTGCCAGGGCCCAAAGAGTAAAGGCGGGATCCATGCGGCTGGCGTCGGCCTGGCTTCGGAGGCACCGTTTCAGGAGCAAATGCCCGAGAGGAAGCTCCTCTGCTGACTCGCAGGCGAGATAGCCAACTCGATAGCTGACTGCGTTTGGGAGACACTTCAACCGTGTCATGTAGGCCAACGTCTCCAAACATCTCTTCCACTGCCTACCCTCTCTCCCGCACACACTGCTGAGCGACGTCCAAGCAACCACATCCAGCTTGGTCTGCCCCTCTCGGCACCCCTGCAATAACCGCAAGGCAATCTCCCAACAGCGACCCGAATCCAATGTGTCGAGGGCCGCAGTCATGGCACTGCCAGACACATGGTCTGGCTCAAGTACCTGGATCTGCATGCACCGCATCATGCTCAGCGCCTCCAACCACCGACTAGCCCCCCCGCAGGCGTTGATGACGGAGTTACCCGTAATAAGGCTCGACTCCAGTAAGTTCAAGTGCATGGCACCCAAAAGGCAGACAGTTGTAGTCCATCGACTGCTCTTCTCGCAGGCCCCTAAAACTGCTCCAACATTTATGGTGTTCACTTCTAGAAGTCGGTCCTGGGCTTCCTTCAGAAGGAGACATGACCGCTGCCATCTCTTCTGTCCCATGGCCGTGGCCACAATGGTGAAGCCAATCTGATCTACTAGGATGCCTTTCCCACGCAGACCTAGAAAACCTTCCAGGACCTGCCTCCACTTGGCCCGCCCAAGTTCTGACAGCTTGCGGTTGAAGTCGACCGATCTCTGCAACTGCCACTGACGCCCTGAAGCTGGGCAGCTCGAAAGCCTCAAGTTTAAGTCGTTTAAGTGTGCATCTGCGCATGAACGCCGCGTGCGCGCGCGTCCGCAGTTGGAAGAGCAAATCCTGGGATCCATCGGGGCGATAGAAGTTCGAGGGCATGAAGATTGAAGTCTGACAGTCAGAAAGAGTTTAGGGCTTAGGGTGTTTAGGGTTTGGCTTGACCAGGATTTACACCTTCCATGGCACCTGTGAACCGAAGGCGCTCGAGAGCTTGAGATTTTGCGGGGAGATGGCGAACCATCGGCAAGGGGTCCATCCGAACTCATCCCCGGCACGACCGGCCTTGCACAAAGCTGTCGACGCATTCCTTTTCTAACTTCAAGCGGTCGCCCGGGATGTATCTTTCAACCCAAACCCAACAAAAAGCAGACTGATCTACATCCGGTTCAGAATGACTTGTGTCAGGCTAAACATGACGGATTTTGTGTGCCATGCAGCATAGTACCTGATACACGTGCAAGACGCGGCCAAGTACCGATATGGATTGAGTATGTTGTTTAACCATTGCATCTGAGACTCCAGACCTTGCCAGGCAGGTGTGACACATGATCGAGCTACTGTGGACAAATCGCCACAGCATCACCGGTGCCCTTCGGGTGGCGGGATAATGCCTCAGGTGACAGCTGCAACTTGCCAAAGAGCTTGCAGTAGCCACTACCGTCGGGAAACGCTGACACTAAAGTAGCAGAAGTGGTCCGGAGGCCCTTGCCCGGCTGGGGCGGTGCCTCTGTGCCGGCGACTTGAAAGCTAAGATGCCAGGCGAGTTTGCCACGAGGACGCTTATGCGAGGCGGTGTAGCACATGGACCTGGGAGGTCGAAATCATGGCAAAACCTTGGGGCCCCAGGTGGCCTTGGGTTGAGGACCTCCTTGGGATTCTAGGGCCTAGGGTTGCAGGATGTACAGAGCATTTCTAATCACCAGCTGCATTCCTGCTTGCCAAGGCCCGCTACACCACGCTGAGTGACGATGATGTCACTGAGACCACCGACCTCAGCGACTTCCCATGGAGCGCAGCGACTCAACATGCAGGTTTTGCGGCAGATTGGACTACTGCGCCTTAGCATCACCACTGCCAAGAATCAGCGAACTCGCATGAGTACCAAAACCTTCCACGACACGCCCCCGAGCATTCCGTCAGCTTCCAGCAGGGAGCTCGAACGCTGCTGCATCGAATTCCTTGTCCGCCCAAGTGTGGGCTCACGATGACACAGTGATGGATAATGCCAAGTGCTTCTCATACCCCTGACTTTCCGTGCTGCCTTCCCCTGCTGGCCCTGTGTGATCCATCCTGACGGGGGCTCAAGTAAGTGACAGTGCGGCCGTGACAGTCGCAGACGTGTGTGCGCCAGCCTAAATCGGACAGCGATCCAGCCGTCGCAGACTTGCAGTCGGAATTCTCCTGCAGAGAAGCTCCACAAGCCAGGAGAAGCCACGAGTGCAGACTCTGCCACGGGCAGCTTATAATAAGCGTACTGCAAAGGCCGCAAGGTGGGGCAGTCTTAGTCCGGATGCCACCTTGGCGAGCTCTGCGAACTTTGCCGTCAAGCGCTTGTTGGCGCCAGCTTCTGGCGGATCCGGTCGGTGTATGTAGGGCGTAGGAGAGTTTACAGGAGGGTGCCGAAACCCTAAACCCCTAAACTACACACAAGTGCCCTCCCTCAAGGTCTGCTCAACAGGCTTTGCAGACTTAAGTTCGGCTTGATACCATCACCTGAACACGAACCCGGAGCTTCAAGAAGAGCCAACCAATAGTGATGCCGGGACACCTGGACCGTTGTTGTAAGCCTGATGCAGAACCTGAGTGGCGCCAAGATGCGTGTTGAACAGCCGCCAGATATTGCGCTACACTTTTGGACCTCTGCCCTGAGCTCCGCAATTCTTTCAACATCGGATGGTCAGTTCTCATAAATGATGCCCTGAATAGTCCCAAATATGAAAGACCATGTCACAACAAGGACGTCCAAAAGAGGCTGTACTTTAAAGTTGTGAACCTCGACAAGCTGTGCATGTCATGTTGATTGTGGCGTCTTGCACGTGGATTCGAGAGCCATTCGGAAGTTAACCATTCCGACGCTATCAAAGGGAACGGCACTTCTGGTCGGAAGAAAAATGAGTGCTGCCGATAATTGAGGGTTTTGGGGGCTCCCATGCTGGGGAAGCCTGTTGGGGCTGCATGAGGGGGTACTCCTCTTCGACTCATGACTGGGTCAGGAACCAGCAAATTCTAATCTCTGAGGCGGGATAGGAACTAGGCAGATGTCACCATCGCTCTCAGAAAAAAACACGTGGATATGGAGCTGCATAGCTTCCCAAAGATGCAAGCCATGTGAGCCCTGTGAACCCGATAAGTAGCACGACGAGCCCTGCAAACATCCAGAGGCCCTACACCCCCCTAAAGAGTACACGCATGCCGAAGGTGACACATGGAGGGACAGCGCGTCAGATTGGAGGGCCTCCAGCAGACTCAAGAGCTTTGCTTCCGCATCTGCCTTGCGTTGCCCGAACTTCGTTCCGTTCACATCTCGCCCTGGCTCTTAAGGCAGTTACATGGTCCCTTAGTACGGGCCCTTAATCGGAGAGCCCCTCATATGCCCTTAAAAAACAAAAAACTGTCATGTATTCAGGACATATCACGGCAGCATCCGGGAAGAGAGAGATGACTGTTGCATCAGGGTTGCTGAAGCACAATTGCCCGGCATTCTAACCCTAAAGCCCCTAACCCCCAGAACTCTAAAACCGCAAACTCCCAAACCCCCAAACCCCCAAAAACCTCGAACTGCTCTCTAACCCAAGATTCCTGAACCCCCAAATCCCGAAAACCCCGACAATCCCCAAAACCCCACACCCGAAACCTTAAGCCCTAAAGACCCTATGCCCTCAGCCCTCATGCTGCAGTTTGGAGCCGCTTTCGCGGAGAGCTCGGGCCTGAGTCCGGTCTGCGGGAGCGGCTCTTCGTGCCTCTCAAAGGATGTGGGGTTTAGGGTTTAGGGTTTAGGGTTTAGGGTTTAGGGTTTAGGGTTTAGCACAAGGCAGGCAAGGATTGGGTCAGCAGGTCTGTCATCTTCGAAGTGAGGGATTCTCGTGCAGGTTTTCGGGCTTTGGGGTTTAGGGTTAGGGAGCCTCAGATGTCGGGTGCACCTCTTGGTTGACAGGACTCAGCAAGAACAGTAGGGCCGAACGGAGTCTCCAGTCCAGCAACACAAACCGACGAAAGATGACACGTACGGCAAGCCTGTGGATCAGATGGAGCAATGCCACTAGCTGGCTGGCCTTAGAGAAGTGCACATGCCCACGCCCGTTGAAACTGTGAAGAGAAAATAGCCCTGGCTGTCTAGGCAGAGCACATTTGAGAAGGATGTGTGCGATTCGGATCCTGTGGCGGGCGCTCGAACTGTGAATGGGTTGGGGTTTTTCAAGCGCTTTTAGAAACCTCTTGCTCCCCAACAGCCCCATGAACTCCTCCAAAGCACAGAGGGTGCAGGGCATAAAGAAACGGTACACTGCAAAGCAAGACGATGACGCTAACGATGAGCATCTAGTACAACTAGCCTGCTTCAGCGATGGAAAAATTTAATGAATGTTGACCTTTTGACTAGCTAGACGTGATGAATACACGCGTGTGTGTGTGTGTGTACATATATAATCACATTTGGGTTGCCAAGGTGGTGGTGGATCACCACTTTACTTTTTCTTAATTACTGTTGGTCCCTTTATTTGTCAGGTACTTTCCGAAAGCGTGTTCCCACCATGGCGACTTTTCAAAGTGGGTGAGTCCTTTGACAATTGAGACTCGCCTTGGCTTCTGTGCAGCAGCGGACTCTACATTGGCGCTACTTTTGCTATTCTCGTCCTCGACGGTGGCTTTGCCGATGGCAGAAGTCTCCTTAGATCACACTCCACCAGCATCTTGCAATAAACTGCGGAATCTGTCATGTCAACCGGGGACTCACATGCTAACAGACGCATGTCGACTCTGTGACTCTAAAATACCTTCAGACTCCCATGACTGCACTTCCAGGCTGAGGTTGCCTCCCGTCTGCGGTCCTCAACCGTTTAGCGGCTTGCGCCTGCGCGTACCCAGGCTCTCGGGTATTGCGACTTGGTGTTTGACAGCTACGTGAAGCTGTGGTGTGATGCCGTGCCACCTCCACAGTTCGGCGCTATTGCCGTTTCGGTTTGTGTGACACACACAGAAGACGACAGCCCTTGCGACTCGGAAATGGACCGCGCTGCTGGAGACTGGACAGCAAGAGGAATGTAGATGATGCCATCGGATGGACGGGCCACATAAACGACACAGATGACTTGCACATGTTATAAGCATTTTTGTTATTCTTCTTACTATTATTATTATTACTATTATGACTAGTAGCACTATTGTTACTATTCTTATTACTTTGTCAATAGATATCTGCTGCAGCAGAGGAAGATGCACGTACTCATGGCACCATGGCAGGCTTCTCGTGCGGCACTCAAAACCGGAACTCCGTCTTCAGGTATTTGTGGGGGTTTAGGGTTTAGGGTTTAGGGTTTAGGGTTTAGGGTTTAGAGTTTAGGGTTTAGGGATTAGGGTTTCAGGTATCTCAGGGTCCCGAAAAAGCTAGCGAAGGGGGAGCGCGCCGGTCCATAACCCTTAGTACCAGTAGTTAGGGGCCAGGAGCCGAAACCTTGACGATAGTTGAGACCGGCTTTGCAGGTTGCACCCCACTCGGCGCGCCGAGGTCACGCAGAGGGATCCTGATAAATCGCCTGCTTCACTGCAATAATCCGATGCTGTGGGGTTTCCCAGCTGCGGGCCCCTCTCTTGGGACCCCTGGGACGCTTCTGGAATGCCCCTGGGACCCCCTGAAACCTGCTTGCCACCTCCCTGAAACCAGTCGAAGACCGGCCTGGCACCTACATTCAGCCTGTCTGAACCTCCCGAAGACATCCCAGCAGCTGCACCCCGCAGACAATTACGGCTTCCGGTTTGTGACAAGAACTGAATTGCCATGCAAAGGGGTTGGCTTCCAGGAAAGAAAACATGCCAAACAACGAGACCTGGTCAGCTGCTTGAGTCAGGATGTCGTCATTGACATCGACAAAGGCTGCCAAGGCCTAATGCTGGGCTAAATCTTGACCACGTTGAAGTACATTGGGTCTGCATTCACGATCACACAACAAACTAATCCATGCCAAGCCAGGCCCAGCGAGCATATTGAGGCCAGAACCCCCACGGCTCTCGCCTGATGGACATGCTCACTTCTCGCGTCTGTGGGGTCCGATCGCACATGTTTATGAATGAGCACAGCAACGCGCCTGCTCCGACGACGACATTTCCTTCTTTCTATTGGAGGCCGAAGCACCCTGGGCAACACCTCATCGGGAAATGTTACTGCAGAGCGTCGAGCAGCATCAGGCGTCTGGCCAAAAATCATCAGGTGCAGCAGTGTCAAGCCAAACGAGAGCCAAGCGTAGGCAGGCTGCCTTCGGCTTGCCTATGCGTGGAACTTGCAAACGAAAGTCTCGAATTTACGAAGCAAAAGCATAGCAACACGTAGCAAAGAGCTTTTTCTCCAGAGCGACAGCGTGCTTGGGCAGCTTTGGAGAAGACCTCTCTCCCTCTCACTGAGTCACAGGAATAATTGAAAAGAGAGAGGGGGCCAGAGAGAGCTTCCCATTGCCCTAAGATGCACAATGCATTAGCTGAAAAATCCATGCCTAAAGTAAGCTGATGAAG